AAAAAACAATTTCCAAAAAAAAAAAAAAAAAAAAAAAAAAAAAAAAAAAGGCATATGGAATTTCAAGGCCAGAAAAGTCTGCAAAGCAAGTTGTAGGACAGCTAGGTCTGTTACACAGAGAAACCTTGTCTTAAAAAACAAAAAAGTTGGGAAAGTGATACTGTGTGAAAAATTCCCCCTTTCTGCTCTGTTCACCTCACATATTGTCCTTATTATTTCTTATGTTCAGTTAACAAACGTTTGACTACTTGTTTTCAATCATGTGTAATATTTTACTGCAAATTCCAGGCAACCCATGTAAACAAAACTGTTTGGAGATCTTGCTGTTTTATTTCATTTTATTTGTTTATTTGTATACAACATTCTGCTTCCATGTATATCTGCACACCAGAAGAGGGCACCAGATCTTATAACGGATGGTTGTGAGCCACCTTGTGGTTGCTGGGAATTGAACTCGGGACCTCTGAAAGAGCAGTCGGTGCTCTTAACCGCTGAGCCATCTCTCCAGCCCTTATTTCATTCTTTTAAAGAGGGTTCTTCCCACCCCCTTTCTTCTTTTAATCCTAACGATTTTTGCTCTAGGCACAGAATCATACCCCAGTCATGGGTATCTTCTTTTTCTATTAGTAACTGACTTTTCAAAACCCTTCTTGTCAGGCTCAGTGGCCCATTCCTATAATCTCAGTACTTTATAAGCAAGAGGTAGGAGGATCACCAAAAGTTCAAGCCTTGCCTGGGCTTCACAGTGAGTGCCAGGCCATTGTGGGCTACCAAGTGAGATATCTTTCTCAAAAACAAAACAAAAAAAATTAAAGGAACATCACCCTTCCATCACAGTACTTTTACAAAGTTGCCTTTTTCAGAAGGGGGTACTCTGGAAGGTGTTGGGGGTAGGAAGAGTGTTTTGGAAGGCAAATATGAAGTAGTACCAAAGTACAATGATATGTATATGTGAAAGTGATACAATAAGTTTTTAAGTTGAAACATTTTCATCTACCCTGTAGAGTACTGTTCATTCTTTGTTAATATATTTATTTATTCAGTAAATCTGTCCATAATGGGACTGGACAGATGGCTCAGAGGTTAAGAGCATTGACTGTTCTTCCAGAGATCCTGAGTTCAATCCCCAGCAACCACATGGTGGCTCACAACCATCTATAATGATGCAGGTGTACATGCAGACAGAACACTGTATACATAATAAATAAATTTTTAAAAAAAAAAAAAAAGAAAGATGTCTTTTTTTAAAAATCAGTCCTTGGCCTGGCTTTGGTGATGCACGCCTTCTAAGAATGGCATCATATTCATAGACAACACCTTACTAGTAAACTTGCTGAGTTTTTCGGTGGTTATGGATACATGTAACAAGTGGGAACCAAGAAGTGATTGTTGACTTGAAACTGAACTGTTCATTTTTGTGATGAATTAAAATTGCTAAACATGATGAGTAGTGGGGCCGTGGTGGCATACACCTTTAATTCCAGCACTTGGAAGGCACAGAGGCAGGCATATCTCTGTGAATTCAAGGCCAGCCTGGTCTGC